ACTACTTGGTGGGTCTTACGGCACCACTGTAATTTAGACTGTAAATGAGACGATTTTATCAAGAACGCACCCCTGATCCCCCAAAAAAAGGTCAATGGGTACCGGGCGAGGTGATAAATCACCGCCGGACAGCAAGAGCCGCGGTACAACTAAAAGGCGCGATTTCGGCTGATTTCGTGCGCCGTGAGTTTGGCAGTCACCCTACACTCAATTCCAGATTCAATACTGAATGATATGTGTCTTGAACGATAGTCCATAAATGCTTTAAAAAAACAACAACCTCGCCTCATTTCATACACACTGTTCATCTTAACTTGTTCACACCCAAACACCCCCTTCCCCTCCCCACATATTATATAAACACTCACGAGAGCATGCTGGCGTGCACACTCACTCTCTCACACGCACACACACACACACACACACACACACACACACACACACACACACACACACAAGTTTTCAAAATATTATTACCCAATATCAAGAAAAGCACGCGCGTTCGATGGGGCAACGATCATCTTTTTTGTTCCTTCTTTGTCTTTGTACTACCTGATTTTGGGCCAAAATACCTGAAACTGACCATGAATTTACCTGAAATGGGAACTTTGAGGTTGGCAGCCCTGAGATGGAGATCACCACTCTAGGGTGCCCACTCTCCGCAGCAAGTTTTTAGTGTTGTAGCTCTGATGATGATGATGATGATGATGATTATTATGATGATGTGATGATGATGATGGGGAGGAGGAAGATTCATAAGATGAGGTATTTTTTTCAGTGGTTTGGGTAAAATTAACTCAAGCAATGATATGTGATAGTGTATGAATCAACATGCCATAACGTTTTAAATTGTCTCTTATTGGTATTAGTATTAAGCACATCGACTTAAGTTCACTCAGTTGCTGCTCACTACGGTCCAGCCATAGTATGTTTGTAAAATTGCTTTATGTGACTGAGATAGTGTAATGTAACTTGTAACACAATGTGGGTTCATGGTCATGAATATTATTGTGTGCCAATTTTATGTCTCGTGCATTTTGTTCTCATGCCATTGTAAGTACTGCCAATTTCCCTGGGATGAATGAAAAATGTAATTTTGTTGTTCCAGGTCAACTACCTCATTGACGAGGGTGTGTTGGTAGGCAAGGGAAGCAACACAGTGATCTCACTCCTCCATCACTTCTTCGAGACTCATGGGCTTGGGGAGTCAGCAGTATCACTACATTGTGATAACTGCTCAGGCAAAAATAAAAATGGGTAAGTAATAATACCCAAATAATACAACATTTCAAGACATCTCTGTTTATCTTTAGATTTACTTTCATGTCAATGTTTGTTTTGTAATCCTGGGAGTAGCTGGTGAGAACTATGGTGGGTTAGTACTTGTTGCTTCACTTTTACCCTGATCTTGTTCTTCTTTTCTATTTCTTTTGTGTGTGATCATGCTGTCTGTGTGACAGTGTGAGACATATGTATTTGAAAGAGTCATAGAGAGGAGTATGTGTGTGTGTGTGAGAGAGAGAGAGTGAGAAAGAAAGGGAGTGGGGGAGGGATAAATGTTCTGGTATATATCCACGCACATTTCTTTTGTTGTTCAATAAAGTTTATCTTATCTATCTTGTTACTCTCTTGTAATCCTGTTATTGGCCCCATACAAATGTAGTACAGAATCAAACTCAAACCTTTAGTTTTTGACCCAAAAATGTGCATCCTCAGGTTTGTTCTGGCGTACTTAAGACGGAGGGTTCTGAGGGGCCTTCACACAGAAATCACCCTGAACTTCATGATTGCTGGCCACACCAAGTTCTCGCCAGATCTGTGCTTTGGCCTCCTCAAGAGGAAGTTCCAGCAGGCTGAGGTTCATTGTCTGGAGGGTATGTGCAGAGTGGTGGAGGAAAGTTCATCGGTCAATGTGCCTCAACTGGTTGAAACTGAGGATTGAACTGTCTCTGTACTGACGTACAACTGGCAGACCTTCCTGGCCGACTTTCGTACCGTGCCAGGCATGAAAAAAATACATTATTTTTGTTTTGCTGCTGACCATCCTGGTGTAGTCAAACATGCTGAAAGCTTTGGGGATCCTCTTGTCTCAATGACACTCTTACGAGGAACAATGAAACAAGGTTTCCTCTCCATATTGCCTGCACCAGGACTGTCACAGCAGAGAAGGGAGTATCTGTATAACTCCATTAGGGAATTTGTTACTGATAATAAGAAGGACATCACCTGCCCTCCTCCATAATCATTTATTGCATGTTAAAATTTTTGTTGATTGTATTGTACCAACAGTAACTGTAATGATTAGCTTTTATGTGTGTGGGCGTGTGTCTGCCGTCGTAAGGGAAAACGATGAATGGTCCTGCGCTGGTAGCGAGGCAAATTTTTCAGGAGAGGCAAAAACTGTTTTCACTTTATAACTCTTCTATTTTTCATTCTTTTAAGCTGTAATTCACCAGATATCTGATTGATGTGTTCATACAGCAGTTTCTAAAGTTTGAATCGTTTAGGTTAAAAAGTAGCAAAGTTATTCGACATTTGTCGATCTCCCTTACATTGCGCACCCGCAGGTGAGCCTTGCGATGTAAACGAAAACGACGAATGGTACGGTTCGTCGTTCTCCCTTACACTCGTGAACGTTTATGGGCGAAGGCGATGGTCAGTTGTGACGCATTATGGATAGTAATGACTGTGTACTGGTTACTACAAATAAAGATAAGACGTATACAAACTAGCTATTATACGTATAAAGTTAGGTGTTTGTTATATTTCAATCGTAACTCGGTAAACATCCTTCGTTTTCTTTCCTCGCTTGGTTAAATACTACACAGTCAGTGTACAAATCAGAAGTGCACACATTTTCAACAGCTTGATTTAAAACTGTCTCATTCGCAAACAAAGTTTGGTCTCCATGATATCTCTTTATTGTATTCTCTTCAGAAGCGAGTTGTACTTTTATTTTCGCTAATTGCAAAATTTTCCCTGCACGACCAAAGGGATCAACAATGTTACAATGTCAATAATACAATCAGATCATTGCAAAGTCAAACTTTCATGTAAAAAATGTAACAATCTGAAAAGACTCACAAACGCTTTCGGGAGAGGTGATGCGACGCTTTGTATTTAATAAAGGATTCAGTTGATCGGATCGGAAAACATACCACAAAGTAGAGATCGACAAGGACAGTTTGAATCTGCAAGACATTATACTCGATTGTAACGTCCATCAAGTCAAATAAAAATCGCAAAGCAAGACTAAGTGTCACCACAGTACGTCCACTTTTTAAGTTCGACAAAGAAATTTACTCTCATAACGCAGTGTCATTAATTGCTTGGTAATTCTATAATGATGTCGACCAGTGACAAGTGCTAGACAAATTGCGGCACTATAACCATCGTTGGGATTTGGGATGTCAAATGACTGGACAGCAAACTAACATGACATTAGTCTGTGAACATCTGGGGGACACTAATATGCAGTGCTAATAAATTTCTCCCTAAATACTTTTTTGACCCTCCCGTCCCCACCCCTTTCCCCCTGTTCCAATCCGTTTTCCCCTCTCTCCCGCCTGCTCTTGTCAATTCACATCATCAGCATAGGCCTCGTACATGAAGACAGACAGAAAGATACACTAAGTGATACATTCTTATAAACTTGGTAGACGGTACTCCGGGGGAGGGGGTGGTGGTGTATTTGTTTGCAAAAAAACCTAGTATGTTTGTACTGACGCAACAGTGACCAACTGTCATTCGTCGCCCATGCCGAATTTGCCCAGTGGCAGAGACCAGGGGACAATGCCGAACGAGCAGTAATCCTTGACCGATCAACCATTCGTTGTTCTCCCTTACACTGAGCTCTGGCTCGGATCTCGCCAGTGTACGGGAAAACGACGAACTCTCAATTACGCAACAACGAATATGACAAATTTTTTTCCACCATCAGATGCAGAATGAAATACTCTATGAAATATATAAAAATTAAAAAATTGAAAAATTTTGACCATTCGGTGTTTTCCCTTACGACGGCAGGTGTGTATGTCTGTGTGTGTTTGTAAGTTTCTTTGGTTTGAGTTTTTCATCTTTGTAATCATTTTACTGCGCTCGCAACAGCATAAGATCATATTAGCGCGTGGGACTCATTAAACATTTTCAGTTTGTAGGAAGCCCACTCTTGTCGATTTTAGGACCACCAAGGCATCTTTAACATGTACGACTTGCACACAGGACCTCAGAGATTTTTCTCCCTTATTCAAGAAGGCTAGGTGTTTGATCTTACTGACTCTAGTTTGTGGCAGGGTTGGTGATTTTTAAATTTTTTAAAATAAAAATAAAAAAAATCGATTTTTTAAATTTAAATCAGATTTTTAAAATTTAAATCGGATTTTTTATATTTTTTTATTTTTTAAAAAGTGCCAACTCAGTTTGGGATTTTTGGTGGCTAAAAGTAAGTTCTTTTAGTGCAAAATGCATTGTCTTTATTTTAACTAATGATT